TGAGGTTTTTGCTTTTAAGCCACATTTTCTTCAGATTACCATCAGATGAAGATAACCTGAGTTAGATCTTTAATTAAACCTGATCAACCAGATTTTATTTGAGAAGAGAGTTCTATTTCACTTCTCACACCCAGAGGGCTTGCTACCACCAGACTGAGAAACCACTTACATTCGGCTTGTCAGAAAACATGTAGCAGGCTCAAATATCATGCAGGGCTGCTTTGTTATCTGAGGATCTGGATGAATTACCATGAACACTGTCTCATGGATAAAAATCCTGATGAAGAACATCCAGTCAGCAATTCATGACATTAGGCTGAACTGTAAATGCATCAGGGCAATAAATCAAGGCACACCAGCAATTCCACTAAATAGCTCATGTGGCGTGACCAGATCAAATTCCTATTGAAATGTCCTGGAATGACCTGAAAAGGACAGGATACGCTCGAAAACCTTTTTACATGGCTGGATTTTTAAAATTCTGTTTTTTTCCCCCATAGCAAAATAAAATACTCAGCCTTAGTAATGTGTGGCAAAAAAGCAAAACACGATAATTTTTAGGAAAGAAATTCTCCAATTCTTGACTCACACCACCATGAACATACACACTGTACTCTCCAGACTCATGAAGTTCATCAATGATTTGGTTTTAATACAGACCATGTTTGGAGTTACAAAGTGTTTTCTTCTTCCTCGTGCTTTGTGTTTGTTTAGGGCTCAAGACTGGCAAGCTGCTGTGGAAGAGTATGAAGAAGTGCAAACTCACTGGAACGCCTACACATCTGCCTCGTAAACTCCAATCAGTTGAACTGAATTTTTGAGCTTGTTTTAATTACTTGGTTCTCTTTTCTTTAGATTTTCATTTATTCCATTCACCATTAAACACTGCAACCGTTTTTATCTCTCTGCGAAGCAATTTATTCATAAACACATAGACAATCAGATTGTTATCATTTAAGATTGTTGCAGATGTTGCATGATGGGTATGTTTCTGGTGAGTAGTAGCCAGAAACTCGTCTCACGTCTTTAAATGGTTCATTCATTTGTTTAATCCGTGAGTGCCCACTCACCAAAGGGCAAGAATTGTCACATGTTTTTTACTTTTAAAAAAAAGTCAGTTATTTGTGAATACATTAAGCACACAATGTTTTAAGATGAATTTTGTAGAAAAAGAGTCTGTAAATCATTGTACAACTGAAATATTTGCTTTAAAAAATGGCCTTGTATATTTGCCTTATCAAAAGAAACAAACAAACACAAAAACATTTAGATAAATTCTTTACTCTTTTTCTCGCCCAGTAAAGTTTTTGAACAGGTTATGGGAGACTGCTTTAAAAATGCTTGTTGTGTTGTTTGCACCAAAGTCCCTTTTGATGAAAAGTCACTGGTTGTTTGTGGCCAAATCTTCTATGAAATAAAATGAATACCAGCTCCTTTTATTAATTAAACAACAAATGCATTGTGCTTTGGCTAAAATTTTCTATTTTAATAAGATTTCAATTATTCTGCACTTCTTTTTTTATGTCAATCTGTGTCAACCATCTGAGCTGTTGGGCCTAATTTGTGAGTGTCTTAAACTCTAGTTTGGGGACAAGAAATAAAAATAAATAAAAATTCCCAGAGCTGAAAATGGCCCCAGGTTGCAATTTGAACCTCCCTGGTTTAAACTCATCTGTTGCAGGCAAACAGCTCCACCTACAGGATCAGAAGTAGCATAACAATCCATCAAATGACTGACATTGCAGAATTTGGGGGAGAACTCTCAGACCTCCATGCCTTCATAGATCAGATTAGGGCTGGAAAAAAATCTGCCACAGCTAAATCCTATTAGTTTGGCCTGAAGATTACAGTTTTATGTCACTGAAGATAAAAAGTATCATGTCAAATAAACACAAACACTAGATGTTGCATTTATGAATGCTTCAGTTGATGGCTGAAGTGGGAAAAAAATGATTGAAAAGACATCTGCAGTTCATAAAATTATAGGAGTAAAACTGTTTAAGACATCAAAATGTACAACTTTCAGTGACTGTCATTTGCTTCCAAAGAGAAAGTCACCATCTTCTTTTAGGTATAATCTGTATGAAGCTATGGAAACTGAATTGAAGCTTTTTCCAAGCTATTTGAAATGATCAATGGCCCGAATTGGAAGCCGTGTGCTGCTGCCTTCCATTTTGCCTCAAAAAGGCTCTTTGATCTGATGCACTCTGATGTCAAACTGAGAGACAAAGTGGTCAACAAAATAACAGTGGGACAGATTCAGGAACATCCTTCAAAAAAGCAACCAGGACCTGCCTCTTTTTATTTTTTTCTTTTTTACACCCCAATGATTCACAGGTCAGAGTGAATCAAAACAAATAAAGAAAACAAACTCTAGGAAGGGGCCACTAAAATGTGTAAAAGCAGCCATAGTCCAAATCAAAAGCATCAGCAAGCCTGAAAACCATAAAATCCAGTGAATGCCACTTCTAGACCTGTTATGTTGAAATCTGATAACATTTCTGTAAATGACAGTTTGAACAAGAGCGTAGTGGCAGCTGGCGAAGGAGTGTCATTTCTGCACCCTCGAGATGTTGCAGGTTGAAACGAACATTTTGAGACTGAAAGCAAAACACAAATAACGTCAAACCATTAAAAATAGCAAAAAGATAAATAAATAAATAAAAATAGTAACATTGAGTAAAAGATTGTATCCCCTCTCTGCCTGTGGTGTAAACAACAAGGTGTCCACATGTCAGACAGAAAGTAAACACTGTCAACCTTTCTGTATAGAACTCCAGAATTTGGCTCTGACTGGTCAGACTTGTAATGAAATATGTAAGACGCTCCTGTCAAAATGCCCTCAAGCGTTAGATGAGAAACCTTTCTCAGGTGGATGGCTCTTTCTCACATAATTCTCTGTGGGCATGAGGAATGACACGAGTTGGCTTCATCCACTTGTCAGTGCTCTCAAGAGGGTGTTTATTATTCCTGGACCGATGTTCTCCTATTAGCTTGCTCCCACTGTCTCCTGTGGCCTGCTCCGTTGAAACAGGACGTGGCTCCGAAGGGCTTATGGAAATTCACTGGGGGCCTACAAAGACAACTTCTAGGGTGTGTCCTATAGAGGTGTTGTGGGATTTCAGCAACGCAACGCAAGAGTATCTCTAACATCTACAATTTGTCAATTATAAACACTGGAGGTGAAGATCGTCTGATTTTTGGGGGGGATTTTAGAGTAAACATTCAACAGGATGTCCTGTTGCATTATCTTTATCCTCTAAATCTTTGTGTTACTCAATTTGAAATGTCAGCAGACATGACATGGTTGTCCATCAAAATCAACTCTGGAAGTGAATGGAAATGAATTGAAGGCATTTTCAAACCACACAGTGGCATTTTCTCTAGAGGAAGCTCTGCACATGAGAACCTGGCCTGAAACTTTCTGTCTTAAAGACCCATGTCTCATTTAATAAAGAGAGATTGATAGGATCTACTTATGCTTTAATTATGCAGCAGTGATATTAAGAACCTCATTAATTCATGCACTCATTTTGCTTTCATTTCCTTCTTGAAATGGCTGCTTCCTCTGAAATGTTTATATTAGCTCAGTGTTATAGCTAACACTGAGCTTACACTGATGCTATCCATCATTTTCAAAGAGAAAAAAAAATCTACATTCAAGCTTGTTTACATGCAGTTTCCCATTGAAAATGACAATTTTATATATATATCTATCTATATATATAGATAGATATATATATAGATAGACTCACATGTCCAGAGCTGGTTTATTACAACAACTTGCTATTCATCATTATGGTACAGCTGGATGCTTTCTCCCTCACCTCAACATTTAAAAAGTCTTCCCAGTGTCTCCGTCAGGATGTTTGTTTCTGCACCTTCCTGCAGCCTGAACCACTGGAACAATGTGCCTCAAAGTGTTTCTGCACTATTAAAAAGTTTGAACCAATGTAGCTTGTGAATTATGCATCCCATTCATTTTTAAAGCACACCCATAAATGCATTATTCAGTGTTGCAGAGAGCCGAGTGTTCATTCATACAATTAAAGCTTCAGTGGAACAATGACATTTTAGTCCATGAATGGTTAACCACCAGCACTGGAGGGTCCAACTAGCCAGCCATCACTAATCATTGGGGAAAGGACAGACTGTTTTCTCCTCACTGCCCTCAGCTGAACTCAACTCAAACGCTCCACTAATGAGCCAACGCCTCCTCTCTGGATTCTCCACTCTCTTACGAAGTGGTGTCAATTGCACGGCCAGAAGACAACTCTCTGGGGAGCTTTCATGAAGAGACCGGACGGATTCTGCTTCTCTTAAAGAGACCCTGAGGCCAAAGGACCAAGGAACCGCAGCTACTGGCCTGTGAACGAGACGATAAATTAATCCGGCTGTCGTGTGTGCTGTGGTGAAATGATTGCCCTTGGACAGTCTAAGTGGGGTCAGTGAGGGGTTTGAAGGTGGAGTCTCGCTTTAATGTGCTTGAGCATGTAAATAATGATGAAACGGATAAATAGTCCTACTTAAGCCCAGCCTCTCAAATATGAAAGATGAAAGAAACAACCTTTATATAAACCATAAAATAAAATAAACTTTAATATGGACTATAGAATTGTAGATGAGGAAATGGCAAATATAACTTTGTGAAATGTTTATTTTCTTAATGACATTTTAAAATCTGGACCTTTTTAATTTTTATTGTGTACTCGTTTTAAAACATTAAAATTCTTCTCTGGATTATTTTTAATTGATCTAAAGTTAAAATAAAGAGATCCAGAAGACAGAATAAAGATAATTGAGGATTCAGACCTGTCGATATTGTGTTTTAACACATTAAAACCATAAACCTCGGTGGATTTTAATGTCATTTTATGATAAGAAACTACAAAACGTACTTTCTACAAATAAAAATGCAACTCTCCCCCCTTTACTCCAATGTCCCTAAGTAAAATCATGTAGTTGATTGCCTCCAGAAGTCTTCAAGCTAGCAAACATAGTTCACCAATGTATGATTTAATCACAGTATAAATCCAGCTGTTTTGTTTTGTCCTCAGAAATTTGTTAGATAACGTGCAAGACTCACCAAGCACTACAATGATCTAAATCAAAGCATCAGATCAACAACAAAAAGGCCAAAAAAGAATAAAGGTACTGCAAAGGTCTCACTGAAGTCCAGATCTCAAATTGTGTGTTGGTGGAACTATAAGAAAGCTCAGCAGAAACAGGTAAGCAGTAAAAAAATAAAATAAAATAAAATTTAAAAAAAAAATTCACACAAGACTCAGTAATATAGAAACTGATGACTCGGAGTTATTGCTGCTAAAAATAAAGAAAACACATTTCAGTATGTTGACTTAAAAATACAATTTCTCAATTCAGTGTGGCACATCAAGTCATAAACCAAAAGGTGCTCACTAAATTTACAATCAACATAAAACCCTCTTTATAAACACTGGGCGTTAGCAAAATGGGGCTGTATGTTTCTATCACAGTATTTCTGGAGATGGTTCAAGAATCTTTCAGGTGATAAAATCCAGTACATTTCAGGAAGGAAGTTTTATTTTATCAGACATTCCTGGTCCTTTTGCTTGACTGCATCACACACCCCATCTACTTCTGGATCGTCATCTGCTGAACTCTGACCTCGATCCGTTTCACCAGCCACTCTGCAACACCTCTGAAACGCGCAAACAACCTCCGACGGTAAAGTCAAAACTCGTTCATCCACTCGACTCGGCACAAAAGTCCTGATTCGTTTCAGTTAGCTGGTCCTCTGCTTGGCACTGGTGGGGGGTTGAAGCAGAAGGCAGTGGAGAGAAACCAGTTTAAGACGGGACATGTTTAAAAAACAAAACAGTAAAGAGATGTCATTCAGGAGACTTTACAGAAGTTCATTTAATTCCAAAGATTTATGTAGAGGGAAGAGCTCATACAAACACTTCACTGTACATATAGATTTACACTGTGTGGAACTGAATGGTCTCACCCTGCAGTCCCACCTCCTGTATCCTTGACAAACGGAGGCTCGTCTGCATCCCAGCTCCACTCCAGTGCTCAGCTTGCATGCGTTTGCTCCAGAGTTAAATTAAACCAGTCAGAGAGACTGATATTACTATGAACAAACAATGTTCTAATACTTTACTTATTAAGGACACATTTAGGAATGCAGAAGACGAACTGAACAGCAGCCGAGCTTTTCTATGATGGTGGATGTGGAGCTGAGATGCAGGCTGGCGCAGAACAGTTGAGGATTTGCATCAGTTGTAGTTTCACCGAACGTTGCTCAGTCGGTGAGAAGAACCACAAGCTGGAGATGTCAGCGGTCAAGCCGACGTGGAGAGGCAGGGAAGGCCTACATGAAATGTGTCCCTTCATTTTTTTTTTTTTTTTTTTGGTAATAAAATCAAAAAGTTTGAAAATAAAACGACAGTTCATATATAAACTCTTTCAGGTCCGTATGGATAGTTGAAATTGTTTTGTTCTCATTCTTCTTCACTCTCATTTTCGTGCTCCATGTCTTCGTCTCCGTTTGCTTTGGGCTCGGTTCTGCTATCTGAATCCTCATCTTCTTCGTCACCTTCGTCTTCCTGCATCGCCTCCTCTTCTTCCCAGTGCTGAGACAGAAAAAAAATAGAAAAATAATTTCAGGGATGATCTGAAAATCTATTAGAGAAAAAATGGTGTCATGACGAGTCCGTTCAACTTACATCAGAGTCTTCATTGGGAAGAGCTTCGTCACCAGAGGCCTCCTCTTCGTCAGATGACTCTGCAAAAGGGAAAACAAGGGAAGGTGAATGGGCTGTAGGGCTTTCATCCTGAATGTCTGGAAACCAGCCGACCCTCAGGGGAAAAAAAGGGCTCAAAGCGTTAGCATTTAGATTTGCATTTCAATGCGGCTTGGTCATTTTGTAATGATAGTGCGCTGTTATTTGATGCCAACACACTGATGTTTCATACTCTGCAGCTTTAGGTCCCAACAAACACAGAGACAAGACTGTAGAAGGAGGAAGCCTTTAACAGAAACGTGACACTATGACTACATGGGATTTAAATGCACTCCGTTACAGCTCTGCTACCCCATAGCGGTGAGGATACAGAACCCTGTCAGCCCATAAAGATATGGCTGCTCTGAAAAAAGAAAGGTGACGTAAAGATCAAGGACAAACTACCACTACCACTGGGACTAGCAGGTTTTCTGGGCATCCACTCTTTTACACATCTGAATCAAATACATAGTTAGTGACTGGGCTTTTGCAAAATGTTTTGACATTCCAAGGAGGTAATTCAGATTTTTGACTCAGGGGTGCTAAAGCAGTGATGAATCTAAAAGTTGTAGGAAAAGGTAACTAAAGACCCCTCTTTTAAACAAATAAACGAAGGGTCTGTAAATTTGCAGAATTTGCTTTCTGCAAATTTACAGCTGATGCAGAAAGTATTTTCAGCCTTTAAATAAAAACAAAACCTAGAACACGTGTTGATATTTAATTCCCTGGCTGAATGGACAGACAAATGTTACAACAGTGCATCTAAAAAGAAAGAAAAAAAAAACAGATGAATGAAAGATTGAAATGGACAGATAGCTGAATCAATGAAAACAGAACCTGCAGGAGGGAGGGAGTACTGTTGGCCCGATGGATGACAGAGAAGACAGATGAATTAGGAATAGGAACGGACAGCTGACCAAAAGCACAACAAAACTGACTAATGCATCCCAGATTAGTGGCCAATGGGATGACCCAAAGGACTGAGGGCCAGTTGGACGGCTATTTTACCAGAGACCTGAATCAACGGACCAGCAGACTGTTGGCTTAACAAACAGATGGACAGACTCTTCGATGGACGACCAAACGAGTGGACTGCTGGCTCAAAGGACAGAGCTTCACAAATGGACTGAAGGCTACTGACATGAGTTGACTGAAATAAGTTGAAGGGACACAAGCTGATGGATAAGATCAGTACAAAAAAATAATAATAATCAGCTCGGGGTAATAACGCAGCACAGAAACAGTTCTGGGTGAATTTATATCCTGACAAAGAAAGTTGATTATAAGGCAACTATAGGGATCTCTATGAAACCAGTGTTTTAAAACTTTCAGACATTTACAATGTAGATAACGGGACAGAGAATATCATGTACAGTTTCCCCTGTTCTAGTTTTATTTTCTATAATTATCCAAGGCAGGAAATCATTTGAATTCCAGGTGTTGCTCTTTTTACCTCTCTTTCATGACTCTGAAAGCGAACCCTTCAGGAATCAGATCTTTGGCTTCAAATTTAATATTTTAAGAAACTGTTTTTGGACCTTTTTTATAAACAGCCATTACATTTATGAAGGTAATGGTGACAGTAAAATGAAGAACCCAACTATAGGGAATGAATGAATGAATTATTTGAACTTCACAAATATTTGGATATTTAATCTCATAATGAGGTTTATTTTTAATTGTAGCAATCAGATTTTTATCATTAATTGAATTTGAGGGGATTTTAACCACAGTGAGTAAGTTCACTGAGTGATTCAGCACTCAGGAAGGATTGAAGCGTCCCGTCAGGCTCCCATGTTGAATTCACAATAAACCCAGTGCAGCAGCAGCAGCAGTCATACAGCACTGATACAAAGGGGGAAGAAACTTCCTCTTCCTGCTCATCAGCTTCTTTCATTAGCGGTTTTTTGTTCAAATCCTGGACCAGTGGCGGCGGGAGGTTGTGTGGAGGGGGAGAGGAACTCCAGGCTCAGATTAATTATTTCAGCAAAGCTTGTTTTCTCCTGCCACGTGGTTCAATAAAGCACTTCCTACAGTACGGTAATGAGAAATGAGAGCCAACAGAGCGCAGACTTGTTGCTCCACTCTAAGGAGACCTTCTGCTCAATGTGGACGGTTGGGTTGCCAGGCAACAAGAATCACGTTTGCGTGCGGACAGCGGCTGAACGGTGGACGAGTCTGAGGTCTTTGAGGGGTGATGAAAGGTCAGAAGCTGGTGTCTGAATAAAACAGATTAACTACGCCTGAAATAAAGTTTGAATCCTTCCGAGTTATAGAAAAGAGGTGTTGATGAGCGAGAACTGTTCAGAAAGAAAGGCACGAAAGAAAAACAGCAGAAAAATACACTTGGATTTCACACTAACCTTCCTCATACACCAGTTTAGCTGTATGGTCGACATTTGACACAGAGTTTCTGCCGTCGTTTGCTGCCACCTAATGGACAAATGAGAGAAGACATTACTAAGAAACTATTTCAGAAACTGACTGGTGGAGGAAACATGGGATCTCAGTTTGCAAAGTTCTGATGCACAACAAACACCATGATTATATTTTCTAATTCCTGATAGAAAAATATGGGATGTTCGACATCAAACTCACATTTGACCACATTTTATTAATTGCAAACAAATAACTATCAAAATATAAAAACAGAAGTATAAAATGATATGGTAATTGGTTCATCCGCTCTCATTTTTACTGTCCAAACAGCTTGATACACGGATAGAGCTGCAATTTAGACTTTGAAGGAGACATTTAAAAATATCCTTTAAAGAAAAATTCATTGATTTAAAATATTGGTTTTGACATGTTTGGTGCATGTGAAGGAGAGGCAAAATTCAACAATTTCTTTTAGGAATCGAAATCAAAAGCTCTCTTCTGGATATTGGAGTCAAAAGGGCAAATTGAGGAGGACCTGGATTCTCGACATCTTGACCTCAATTAGCCAAATGGCAACGGAAAGAATAATTCATGATTAGCAAAGCTAATTAATGTCACTCAGTGATGTAACATCAGAAACAACAAAAAAAGTCTAGGAATATTACCAAATCATAGAACTAAATACAAATGAGGTTGTTCTGCTGTAGTCACTGTATGTTTCTGCAGTTTGGCTAATAAATAATATTAACAAAAAACAAAAACAAAAAACAGTTTTATTGAAAAGCTCACAGATTGGCTGTGTGTAATTTTCTGTATGCTTCAGGTTTCCCTGAAAGCAAACAGTGCTTTTCTTTGAGGATTCAGATTAAACAAAAATTAAAAATACTTTAAAAGGAATAAAGAATCCCCTTACCTGGGTCGTTAGGAGATGCAGCTTCCCGTGCAGTTTTGTCAGTTTGTGGAACATCTTCACTCTGCTCTCGATCATGTGATACAGGACGCCCAGCTGGGTGACCAGGTCTGGCAGCTGCATCAGAGGGCAGAAACAGTGACGTGTTAATGGCTGCTGGCTTTAGACGTCAAGAAGAGGAGAAGGATAAGACGGACTCACTGATGCCAGGTATGATGTGTGGTGCACCAGGACCGCCTTGAGCCATCTTACCATCATACACGCCCTGCAGGAAGGAACAACAGACTTTATGTCAAATATCAAGACCTTGACTTTGTCACGAATGGGAAAAGACTGCAGAGAAAATGTCATGAACTTTACATTAAAGGGTTTCCTTGGAGCCTCGTTGTTAGCTGTGAAAGACAGAGAATGAGTAACTGCTGCTACTGAGATGCTAGCTTGTGTCACTAGAGTTCAAATGAAGCTTAGTGGCTCTAACCTCCTCAACCAACGGTATGACAGCAGGCAGCGGTAATCGAGCTACCGTCTTTTTAATTTCCACCTCTTTACGGGTCTGTAAAACTTTCTGCAAGAGAAAAAACAAATTTATAGTTTTACTTAACTGAGCATTGTACTCTATGACTGATGCTTAATTACTAATGAGCATGCTGAAAACTTTTGAGAACGTACATTTAGGATGTTGGCATCCTTGCTCTCCAAGCCCTGCATCAGCAGGACTGCATAGTTGTCCGTCTGCAGCGAGGCCGGCATTTTAGGAGCTCCTTTCTGGCTGGAAGATGCTTCAAGGTCCATTTCACCAAGCCGCTCCGCTATGGACATCTGCAAACAAACATGCATGGATGCAGTAAATCCAAGGAGAGAAGTTTCCTCATTAACATGCTCAGTGTCTGTGGTGACGATCCTACGTCTTTGTTGCCTGCGTCTTTTTTCCTCTTTTCTCTTCCTTCTGGAGCCGACACTACTGGAGCTTTGTGACCAGGCAGCCCCGGAATCAAAACTTTGCTCTTGGCGTTGACGATTGGAGTTTTCACCTGGACAAGTTGGATTTAGTGAACAGATTATGAATCTGGAAAAGATGACCTGCTGAAAACTTTTCTCTACCTCAAATCAAAAACAGAAGAAGAAAAATAAGGCCTGGTTACCTTAGAGACAGTGGTTTCCAAAGAAAGGGACAGGTTGGTCTTAATGTCTCGAGTCAAACAGACATGTCTCTCTGCAGTATTAATCTCCTGTGTAGGTGAAAAAATAACAGAAGATGGTAATCAGACGACCAGAGCAGAGTTTTAGACAAAAACATTGAGGTGTAATCACAACTCCTCCTAAAAACACTGAGTGGCAGGTCTTGCGGTTTCTATTAAACCTCTGTGTAATTTCATCTTTATGACCAAACATGTCATGTATGCATTTCAAAGATTTTTTACTTTTTTTTGTGAAACAATAAAATCAAAATGAAGATCTTCAACTCCAAAGGAAAAAAGTGGAGTTACAAAACAAAACCAATGTGCCCAAAACAAAAACAAATTCACAAACAATGTTTGAGAACAAAATAAGAAAAATACTAAAAGCCAGCATTTATTTACATGTTTCAGAGGCAAAGGTTTAATGCTATCTGAATTTGTACCACAGTTCACAAATTAACTGGAGCCACATTACTAAAATCAATTAAAAACTTTATTTAATTGTGACAGATAAAAACATCAACTAACCGCATTCTCCATAACGGGCTGGAGATGGTTGCCGTATGCGAGCAGCACCGACCGCGGATCGGCTACGAGGGCAGCGGCCAGCAGCGGGATCGGCATCGGGGAATCCTTTGTGTCAGACATCTGCACCGAACACAATGGTGCCAGGGGCTTCTTACAAGGCCTGTGTGGACATTTTAAGTTAGATTTATCTGTATTTCCAACAACCCAAGGGTTAAACGAGAATAAATCCAACACTTCTAACCACTTTCAGGTTTTCCCACCATTTAAAGAATGAAACAGGGCTTACCCATTTAAAAAGTGCTCAAACAGATGCAGCTGTCCATCCTTACACACTACTGCCAGCCTCACAGCCTGCAGGAAATAAAAACATGCAAGTCAGAAGTGAACAGAAAACACAACAATATATTCCTTGCAGACACATTATGCCAGGCTCAGACCTCTTCCTTGCTACTGGATGTGATGAGGTCGACGTGTTGGGGTTCATCAGTCAAAGTGAAGGAAACCACAGAGTTTTTGTCCTTGCCATCTTCTCGTACTTGCCTGGGCATCAGACACACACACGCCCAAAAGCATTTTATTAATTCAGCTGTTTATCAAAACATGCTGACCTGTGATATGCAGCTTGATTCTATTAAACTTGAGATGACAAAAGCCTTTCGATGAATGTTTCACGCTTTGACTTTTAAAAGCTATCCAGGCTGGGTCTCATTTCATGGGAACTGGGTGCTGTACCCAGATGAGTCTTGATGGATGTTCCACTTTATGCTCACTGATCTAAGCTCTGCTGTTACTGGTCAAAAACAGGAGTCTAAATGAAACACCATAATCACATTTAGATCAGTTTTTGGGTCACGATTCCATACATCCACATTAGAACTGAAAACAGAAACAAATGGAATCATTGAGTTTCTATCTACTTCTTTAAAACATAAAGCAAACTTCTAAAGACAAGATAAAATAGGTCATGTACAACAAGGCAGAACTTGTGCACTGACTAATTTACTATACCATAAATGAAAGAGCGTAATGGTACAGCTATTCTGAACAAAATCCACTTATTTCTTCCGGACCAAATAATACCAAGGCAGATGGTTGAGCTTAAGCATGTAACTTAAAGCATTGAAAATTATACGTGCACAAAACAGCACTAACATTTCTCACCATTTTGTTAATTTACAAGACTGTGAAAGTGCTCACAAAATAAAATCAACATCAATACTGCATTGCTTCGGTGTGGACAGGCTTACAAGGATGCCAATAAGCATCCTTGTTGGCATCCTCTTCTGGTTCCAAGAGGTCGCCTGTGACTTTCACTGTCTGGTACAAGTACACAACCTATCACTCCTAAAAGGCAATTTTTTTTAAAGAGAAACAATTGTTTCCCACTGTCATTACTCTGCAATTTAAAATTGCCTTGTGAGATTGATCTAGTTTCTCCTTAACATTTTTAAGTTGTTGTGAGACAGCTATGGTGAGGATCAAATCCTTCTGGCTTTCAGGGAGAAAACAGTAGATTGTTGCATCCAGTGAACAAATTATAATGAAGTTCGGTAAGATGGGATGGAACAGGGTTTAATGTGGTTAGGTACGTCATCTGGATTCCTAAATATAATATTTTGAAACTCAGTTTGTTCCTCTGACGTCGTCTGGTGGTCAAAAGTCCAAAAACTTCCCAACATCATGGACCATACTCTGGTGAATTTAGCATAGCCTCACTCACGGCACTTAAGGCACATTTCCCAGTGGGCCAGAGTAGAGCCTGAAATTTACTGAACATCTACTAACATAATCCAAATTCAAGTATTCGAGGTTCTCATTAACTCACCAAACACTGAGCAGTCGATCGTGTGCTGCTCCTGACAGAAAGTAAAGGCCGTTGCTGTCAGGAGGCCGTGTGGTGGCAAATCGCAAAGTTGTCACAGCCGTGGAGTGGCCTGTGAATTTCTGCAAAGAGAAGAACCCACCGCAGAACTCATCAAAAAGCCAGAACCGTATTATACTCACTAAGCTCTAGCACAGACTTTACAGATAAAATAAAACGTTTAGAATGAGAAGACTCACCCTGTAAACCTCCTTTGTCTCTAAATCCCACATTTTGATCACGTGTCCAGCCGAGAGCAGAAGTTTTCCATCGGGACTCACACATAAACTGGTTACTGCTGCTCGGTCTGCTTTCCACTTACTGTTTGGATGAGAAAAAAAAAAACAGGGAGGAGATTTATTAATGAGGTGGAGTCATCACAGGCAGCGAGTTTTGATACAATTGACTTTTCACTTGATTTTTACCGCAAAAAATACAAATGTCATCAGAAGCTGTCTACGTTTATCACACTTTCTTTGCTCAAATTAGAAGACAAAAATAACTCTAAGAGAACAACCAGTGTCCTTCTAGCTATTCTGTTGTACTAACAACTTAAAACTTCCAAAAAGTCACCACTCCATGGAGAACTGTAAAGCTTGAGAGACGAGAAACATCAACCATGAGCAGCTGCCAGCTTTTGGTACTTTTCTGGATGGGTGATTTTATTTGTGCCTCACGAAGTAAGTAATTTAAAATCCCAAAGAATTAAATCCCTTTTTCTCCACAAATATCTGTAAATGACCATCATAGTTATATGAGTTTAACTTAGTAGATGCAGAGGAAATGAAGACAGCATTGAATGATTCCTACCCTGGTCCTGCAGTTCACAATTACACTTTCAGAGTGATTTATCCACCAACGTGCTTCAGGAACAAATCGTTCTGATATATTTTTTTAAGGTTACGTTGAAAAGAGTCAAAATGCTAGAAGGGCAGATTTTGAGCTGCGGTAGCATCCAGAAAAAAATAAATAACACACAATAACAATTCAATTCAGAAATACTTCATCCTAAATTTAAATAAAATAATCCAAGCATCTTAAGAGAGTTGCTGTAGATGTTGATGCTGTGGGCAGGAAGAATCTATAATTTATGTAGAGTCAGCTCTCCTCTCCCACTGTCTTCACCCTGAAGGTCCTGCATCTCAAAAGGAGAAGCAGCCACTGACCTCCGTGTCTTCCCAGTCTGCAGGTCCCACTCCACGATGTTTGTGTCATCTGAGCCGCTGTATAACAAGCTGTCTTCTGGATGCCAGTGGACACAGTTCACTCCTCCACTGTGACCTCCATCCTACCAGGAAAAAGCATTCAGGATTTAAAGTTGGAAAAATATTTTGAGGAAAACTACTACGGATAATTCACACAGTCTGTACAGAAACAGAAACTGAGCTTATATTAATCTAAAAATGTCTCCTGCATTTATCTTTTTAAACATTGGAGTTTTCTACAGTAAACATGTTAGCTTTCAGTGGAGAATTTTGCCAGGTCGGACATGTCAATGCTTCAGATTACAGCTTAGACTAACATTTGTAGTACAGAATAATTTCTGTGTTTACCAGAGTGCAGTGCAGGGATCCCTTCGCCGTACTGTAGATGAGGACGGTTCCGGCTGCTGTACCCATAGCCAACAGATCAGCCTTCTCCTCCACCTGGGCTGCCTCTGATTTCCTCTTCTTCCTCTGAGGCCCCTCCTAAAAGCAGATTTGTAATGATAAAGAGATTGTCTCCAAATCACAGCAACTTATGTTTAAATTCTCAGGTCATTTCCGCACCCATAAAGAGAAAAAAATAAAAATGCTAAAAAAACTTATAATTTACATTGCCAAACACACCTGACCAAGACGTCAGTCAGTATTCTGGAGTGAACAGGTTTTGATAAAGAAAAGTATCCATGTTATCACTTTGGTCAATCCAGTCCTTACACAATATATTTATCTTCTACCGTTTATGATCGATTTAAGCATTCTAAATTTGCACGCATCATAGAGGTTTCGGAAAGTATTCCTAACACTTCCCAGGTCCTCTACTTCCACCTAATCTTATCACAGCCATCATTACCAACAGATAAACTTAATGTCAATGAGTTGACATGAATAAGTTCCAAAACTTTCCTGTATACCATTTGAACGCACTTCATAAACACCTTATGCTGACTAATAACGACTTTATATAATTTACAACAACATGAGAACAAAGTATGGAATAATAAAAAGCAGTCTGTTATAGTCTCATAACCTTCAGAAGAAGGTTAAACTGCAAAATTGTAACACAAGACGATGTCCATGGTTTTTGTGACTACCATGTGGAGTGACATGTGCGTTTGCGCAGCTAGTCCAGTTGAAGCACCCTTGCTCCAGCTATAACATATAAACTGTCTGGAGTAACACAGATGTCAACTCTCCATCTTTATATTACCTTTATCTAAGCAACAAGTCACTTGCTTCATGATTTGGGGTGAAGTAAAACATCATTTTAAGTCTCTTAGGCCTGCCTAGCTGCAGCAGCTAACAGCGGGCTCTCCTACCTTCACTGTCCGGCATGGTCCCCAAGCTACGCACGTACAGGTGGCGCTTAAATGGGCTGAAGGCACATATTCCTGGTGAAGGGTTTTACTGTCCGTGTTCCAGACCCGAAGTCTGCCATCTTGGGCACACACGGCTAAGAATTGTCGCGATTTGGGTGAAAAAACGCAGGGGAGCTTCAGCGAGAGGCTAACACCGTCCGCCGCCATTTCTGCAGCGCTAATTTGGGTCTGCTACGTGCTTACACAAACCACGTGTGACCGTCATGGGACATGCGCACTGACGCGTCACGCATTGGGACTTCTCATTGGCTGCTTCTGGACAACAAACAGTTTTCAACCCAATAAGACGTGAATCAATCAATCAATCAATCAAATTTTATTTGTATAGCACATTTCAGCTACAAGGCATTTCAAAGTGCTTTACATCTTAAACACAAAACACAAAGGCATGCAACATAGAATAAAATACCAAGTTTTTTTTTTTTTTTTTTTTTTTTTCCCTCTTCTTTCCCTTTCTTCCCCCTTCCCTTTGACACGGAATTTAAGCGCCTGTTACCGCCGGACTCCGCCGTCCGTTTAACCACGGGTATTCGCCGGGCCCCGTTGCCCACAACAGGAAAAAAAAAAAAAAAACACGTCCGCCATATTATGAGTGGCATTTGAGTCTAAGATTTAAACTTTATTTTATTATCATTCAACGCTACTTCAAAGAAACAACGCACAACAAAATTACGTTGCACATTTTCACATTTTTCTCACATGAAAACGTATAAGAACACGCCACCACAAGTGTAATAAATAAATAGCTTTCAACAAGAGCAGACTCTAAATTAAGCTTAACAAATTCCCTTAAGTTGTATCATTTGCATCAATGTCGTTGCACTAATGAAGAGTCAGTAACAAAGAGCCTGTAGGTGACTAAAGATATTGAAGAGCATCTAATATCTGAACTTAGAAAAAACATTGCATTTTTGAGGACATATCTTGGCTTGCCTGGTCAAACTAAAACTGAAACATTTTGACCAAATGACCATTGCTGTATATTGTGGTAAAAAATAAAACTGCCATCCAAATCTCAATATATCGGAAAGAAGGGTTTCCAAACAGACAATGACTCCAATCATTTGCCAACTATTTTCAAAGTGGCTAAGCAACACAGCCCTGATCTCAGTCCCAAAGTTCAGACCTGTAAAGGTTTGGGTGCAAGTCAGTGTAATACACAGACTAAATTGGAGCGCTGTCAGGAACTAATTGCGATGGGTAGAGTATACATGCTCTATTATTTCAATAAGAGACGTGTGCTGCTGATGTCATCCTATCACAACAAACAGAGTCCAACAGTTTTGCAGAAAACATTTGGAACAGAAACTATCAATTCAAAATGCCAAAATATGGCGGTGACATTGACGTCTGAAATGAAATATCTATTTTCTGGTGAATTATTTTGTTTGATAATTATTTATTTATTTTTGGAATACCATCATTTGGAACAATATTTTAAATGTCTAAAGACAAAATAATAATAATAAAAAAGCTCTCAATAAATACCGCCATCTGCAGGCGACATTGAAGTACTGCTGCAGGCGCTTGTTTATGACGCAAGTTACACGTGCTTTTAGAAGCAATGACCTCCTTCCTCGTGTAAACAGGCGCTGTTAGTTATTTCAGTGTAAGTTGACTTTAATAACGCACCTTTTGACGTATTTCTTCTTTTAGTTTTTTTTTTTTTTTTTTTTTTTGTATCCTGCATGTCTCTGTGTACGTCTCTATCTGGCTACAGAGGGGATCCTCTCCTTTAGTTTCTGGGATAGAGTTGTCAGTGATGGCTGTGCATGCAGCCCAAAGATGCATGTATTTGCACAGACTGGTGACAGCTTGCAAATCAATTCAGACTCGCTGCAGGAACAGAGATGTGCTTGAGAAACTCGTGAAAATGTATTGCAACAGAACTTTTTTCACCGCTTCTGTGCGATCTAATGACAATGACGGACAGAGCAAAGACTCCACAAAACTAACTCCCAAACAGACTCAAAAACAAGATCTCCTTTACAGGAGGAAGCGACCCCTGTCTCCTTTGGAGAGGATAAGCAGTCTGCTGCCCCAGGATGTTTTGAGCCCAGAGGTGATGCATCTGAGGGAGCAGGAACAGCATGAAGAGGATCCACAGAGGTGTGATCCAGAGAGAGTCACTGATGAAGGAGATCTGGAGATACACAGTGGCCATGAGGTTGGAGAGGAGCCAAAAGCTGCAGCATTTTGCCATGCAGAGGGGAATATGTACCCCAACCTCCTAGGGGAGAGCTTGTTCACCTTTGGGGAGCTGCTTATTGCTGAGTACAGAAAGAAGAGACGGGTGGAGTTCAGGAAGATGTTCCAGCTTCAACCAGGGGCCCTCCTGCAGAGCAGCTGGGGAATCGTCAAGCATGATGATATTGTTGGGCAACCGGCAGGCAAATTCTTGAAGACAAACAGGGATGTTCCCATATTTTTCCGTCGTGTCAGTCTGGAGGACTATGTGCTGTATATGAAGAGGGGTCCTGCAATCGCCTATCCTAAGGTAGGTCTTGTATCAGTGAAGATGTTTAATGCAGAGGATTTTAACAGTGTCCGATTAACCTCCATCTCTGTCTCTTTCTATATTCAGGATGCAGCCAACATGCTGATGATGATGGATGTCACAGAGGGAGATTGTGTGCTAGAGTCAGGCTCTGGGTCTGGAGCAATGTCCCTGTTTCTGTCCAAAGCAGGTCTGTCTCTCTCACTTTTCCTATCTTGCATCCCAACTACAAAGATTTAGTAACCTTTACTTTTTCACACATTTTGTCACATTACAATCTCAAAATGTATTTTATTGGGTTTTTATGTGAGAGACCAAAACAAATTACTGCATAACTGTGGAGTGGACTTATCTCAGTGCAATGTTATTCTCTTGAGGATTCAGAGTTTTGCTAGAGAACAGCAAACAGCATCATGAAAACCAAAAGACACAATAGATAGCTAAGCTGTGGAAGAGTTAAAACAGCGTAAGGTCACAAAACAACATTACATAGAACTTTGTTACGTCCATCATAGAGTTCAAAACAACTACAAACGTATCTGTACTGGGCAGTCCAACATCCAACTGGACGATACCAGTCTCAGGCAAAAGCTACAGAATGGCAGCAATTGGTTGTTGCTCAAATCTGACCTTTTTGGAGGAGTGGCACATTGATGCACTGCTTTAAGTTGGTTTATCACTTTAAATTCTAATAAAATGCATTAATATTTGTGATTGTGAAGCAACAACATGTGGAGTAGTTGACAGAGTGTAAACACATTGCAGATCAACAATAAAGTGGACAAGTATGAATGACACTGCAGGGTTGTATGAAAAATGACAAACCCAGTTAGGAACGTCTCATTTGCATATTTAAGCTCATATCAAAAGGTATCTAAATCTAGTCTCTTAGAAAGGAAGATATTAAGTAATACATTAAGGTTTAAGAATGGTTTCTAGTAATCTTATGTTTTAAATGAGTAATGTGTCAAGATTATGGTGAAAATGAGACCTCATTCAACATTCAGAAACAATAGGGTCCAGATATTTCCTCCAGTTGGTTCCAGAGGGAGCGTGCTGAGCATAGAGGTGAGGGAGGATCACCACAGAAGATGTGTGAAGAACTACGAGCGCTGGAGGACAACCTGGGCTCTGCGACGAGGACAGAAGTGGCCCGACAACGTGGAGTTCCTGAACGCTGACCTCAGCACAGCCTCGTCACTCCTCGCTGGTCGAGGATTTCACTCGGTCAGTGTCATGACGTTTTCTTAACATATTTGACATTAACAGATCTGCTCATTCGTCAGAGTTGCTTTCTGTTGCAGGTTGCGCTCGACCTGATACACCCTCACCTGGTTTTACCCACCGTGCTGCCACACTTGCATCCTGGAGCTGTCTGCGCCATCTACCTCGCAAAGTGAGCAGACACTTCAAAACACATAAAGGCTTAGACAGCAGTAGACTAGATATTTTTTTAAACTAAAAGCTGCATGCCTTACATAGCATGGTAATCTTCAGGACAGGACAGGCATAACAAGCATGGCTTGCTTCTAAGGGTTAAATGTTTTTTTTCTTTACAAACATTGCAGCAAAGCCCATGTTCTAAATTCTGTATGAATAAACTGAAAGACTTCTTAAATGATGGCCTTTTAATAGACAAGACTAATATAGATACATATAGACAGCACATTTTGAGAAATAAACCAAATGCAGGGCAATGGTGGAGGAATGACAATTTAGGCTTGTTTTTCAGCCATGCGACCTGAACACCTTGCAGTTATTTAGGGTTCAATCAACCATGAACTCCCCTTACTACTGGAGTGAGATGCGAGTCCATCTGACAGCTGAAGCTTAGTTCTGAGTGGATCAGCAGGTCAATCATGTCACAATGGTAAAAATACAGACCTCAACATTATTGACATGCTGTAGCGTGAACTTGGGATAGCTTTGTAGAAACATGCCTGCAAGTCTTAAGGAGGCGAAAGAAGAGGTGATTGTTCTACAAGTTTCTGAATTCTAAAATTTCTAAATGTGTTTCTTTTAATTTTAAATAACAGTTTTCGAGTATTGGTTTTATTTTGACAGATCTGTCAAATGAATACTTATGATTAAAAAACAGGCAGCATCCTTCAGAGGTGTTCTTAAAGATTTCAAGTTTCAAATTGTTGTATATATTAGCAGGAACTGAATTCTGTTGCACTATTTTCCTTTCTCAGTATAACGCAGGTTATTGATCTGCTGGAGGGTGTCCGGTGTTCTGCACTTCCTGTTTTGTGTGAACGCATTATTGAGGTTCCTGTCAGGGACTGGTTGGTGGCCCCTGCCCTACAGAAAGACGGACAATACTGCACCAGGAAAGCCCCAAACCTCGGTGAAGATACGAGCAGCGAAGAAGAATCATCAGATGGGGCCGATGGAGGTAAATGTAAATGAAAACGAATTATTTCTCTGAATCCTATTGGTTGAAATTTTCTCCCCATTAACGTTGGTTGTCTTTTCAGAAGCCCCTTTTGGGCCAGCATTTGGTAATGTTCCTTACATAGCCAGACCCCATCCAGAACAGATGAGTCACACAGGTTAGAACGAGGTAAAATCTCTGGTTTTGTTTCATGTTTGTAGGAAATTCTGATCATGTCATTTCATTTTTCAGCATTCCTGGTGAAGCTGAGGAAGTTTGTGCAGTAGCCAGTCACTGAAGACCCCTGGATACAAACATAATTTAAGAGCTGAATGTTACCTCACAGAGCCTGGAAAGTAAAAGAAACTGATGGAAATATGGATTCTTTATTTTATCTAAAAATGTATACATTTAAAATTTATATGGCAAAGAGATAAAAAAAAAGTTTGAAATGGTTTAAATAGAAAGGTCCAAACATAAAACCTGAAAAAAGTACTGATTGTAAGACAGAATGTACAGGTGGATGAATAGACTTTGGAAGGCTGGTTTAAATTAATTAACTGATGAATGAGTGAATGGATGACTTTTTGTAGATGTACAGTTGGATTGTGACAATGGTTGGACAGCTGTAAGAATGAGTGATGGTTTGGATGAACTGATGGATGGAAAAACAGATGGAGGATCCACAAAATGATGGATAGACAAACAAATGAAAGAATGGACAACTGGGTGAATGGTGAAACAGATGGATGACAGATGGGGGAAAATGGCAGAACAAATTGGTCCATTGATATATTGGTAGATGCATGGATGAATGGGGATATTGGCATACAGCCAGACTGAGATGCATGGAAGGACTGATTGATGAGGATAAATGCAACATCTATGTGCATATTTGGTTAAAGAACCAGCATGAAAACTCACAAGTAATAGAAATACTTTTAGAAATTGTGTTACAAATCATGTTAATACACTCATGAACAAAACCAGAATTTTTTTTTTCTAATCCTATCCAGATCTACAACATACTAAATTCAGTTTCCAACATTTTCTAACTTGTGACTTGGTATCTTAGTAACAAATATGTTTTTATATTCATATCGGCACCTGATTCCGGTAAAAAACAACAATGAGACAAATTTAATTTAAGCCGTTGTATTCTTAAACTCATAGGCATTGGCTCATCAAAAAGTCACAACTGGAAAAAAGAAGATATCCACAAGATTCCCCCTCTCAAACTAACATGTGTCCCAGGGTTGAAACATTGCAAAAAATCTCATTTACAAATAAGTTAAATAAATACTGTAAATAAATATGTAGAGTAATCTGTAGCTGGAACAATCTTAGCTTGTGTACAACATATTTCATATTTACATGCGTGAAATAAGCGTAGTTTATTATGTTTGTTTCAGGTTACTACTAACTGGAAGACTCTGACCTTCAAAGTTTTAGATAAACAAAGGATTATTGCACAGAACGATTCAGTTGGTACAAAAAGGAACAAGGTGGAACAGCCGAGTTTAGCTTTGGGTTTTACATCTCGCTGATCCAGTCTATGAAGGGGTCACAGGAGGAGTCGCAGGAAGAAGTCTCCCCTATCAAAGAGAAAGGACAAACAAGAAAGATTAGGAGATGTCAATTTATTCCTTGCATACATTTATATCTAGTCAATTTATATTAGTTGGCAAGCAATTAGTTCAAAAAGTCAGAAAACAAAGACCTACTTTATTTCTGCCAAATTTAAAAAATATTTCACTTAATCTGTTCAAGGATGATTCATCTCTGGTTTCTTTCCTGAATTCTTTCTGGCTTCCCAAATACATCTCTTTTTAAAATGTCTTCTGAAGACGGTTGTAAAGAATGATATGCATTTGCTTAAATTATTTAAATTCCGTACACATTGCCCATTATGCTCTATCATATGAAGTTTTTTATTTTTTTGCTGAAAGCTAATGGATATCCAATATAAAGAAAAGAAATGTAAAATCTGGAGAAGCAATGCTCAGGATGACTTTAGACGATCAGTAAAAAGCCTGAAAGCAAAAACAAGAAATTCATCACTTTGTTTCATCTTTAGCAAAGTGCTCTGCATTCTGGCTTTTGAATAAAAAGAATGCAGAGCTTCCCTTACTTGGAAGCTCTTCAGGGCAGAAGCAGCACAATTTTGGTGCCTCGTCTTTATCCTCGACTGCCATCCTGTTGGAGGCTTTGGGTGGCGTCAGCTCAAATGTAAATGCCGGAGCAAACGGGTTCAGGTAGCTTGTGGTCTGTGCAGATGGTTGGCTGGAGGAGATGCGATACAACCTGCTGCCGCAATTGCAGAGGGCACAGGAAATGGGGGAGGCAGATGGGCCGCGTGGAAAACGAGTAGGGCCTTGTGTGTTGTACTGTCTCAGGGCACCACTATGGTGATCGGAACGCTGCCGCTGCCACACAAAGTGAGAAGGCACAATGGCCATTACCTGGGGACAGACGCAGGGAGACAGAAGTCAACAAAACCCAAACTAATCTAAACTTATTAAAGTTGAAAGAAGATAGGGTACCAGTCAGAAATGTGCACACACTGATCAGTATGAATGCCATTATTTGAGGGCTTTTAATACTCAATTTAAACCATTCAGTTTTTAGGGTGGAGTGATCATACAACCAACTTCAACACTGGCTATAAAAAGTATAAAAAGTTAGGCAACTTTTTTTTTCTCATTCAAAGTGCATCTGTGTGTCAGAGCTGTATCTATAGCTTTCATACTTTTTGGATTTAAGAAAATCAACAACTCACAGAAGTTTTTCTGTCAATGTGTTTCTTCAAAAGAGTATTTTTGGCACTAATCGCTTTTACTGAACAGTCATTTGATAGAAAAGAGGCTGGAGAGAAAAGAGGAAGACATGCAGCTTATGGTCTGAGACTGGGAATCGAATCCAGGGACGTCAAGGATTATGACTTCTGCATATGGGCTCCTCCACTGAGGTGCACAGCGCCGCATCAAATTGTTTTTAATATTGTTTGTTATAACACTCTTCAACCATAAAAAGAAACCACTTCAAATGTATGAATAAAAGCCCAAAAATTAATCATAATGTCCATGCTAAGAGGATAGAAATTTCTGGATGGCACTGAGTTTATCAGCCTCATTTCGAAGATAAATGCTCGCACCTCCTCACAGCAGCTCTTACTGACAGCAGCTCGGTAACAGATGCGAGCCCATAACTCATCTCGCTGCTTAAGGAAACGTGGAAACTGCCTCCTCCAGTTCTTTCCCAGAGCCCACGGAAAAATTTCATACTTGCTTTCCTCCTCATCCTCTTCCATGGTGTTGGCAAGATAGCTACAGACACAGAACAAATGCTGTTAATGTTGTATTTCCAAGAAAATCTGTAAAGCTTCTTCTGATTTCTGTGGACTTACAGAGCCATGAAAAAATTCTTTCTGGTGTATTCAGCAATAGAGAAGTGGGCCCGTTTGAAGTACACAAAGGTCATGGCTAAAAGGTACTGACAAAATAGGGCAAAACCTGAAGTAGGCACACACTAATTAAGCAATATGAAGGTTTGTTATAAAGGGTTTTACCTTGTCAGTCATTTTATAGCAGCAGTCCATCCGGAGAAAATCTTGGATCAAGTCATCATCTGAAACCAAAACCATTATGTCAGTCCTTAAGCTTCTCTTACCAGATGTTTTTCATTGAAATGGTAAATGATAAATGTCCAGTATTTGTATAGCATTTCATCAGGTCCAGAGGAGCCCAACGCACTTCATTCTACATCCAATCATTCATGCACACATTCACATGCTGATTTACCGAAAAGACGCAAGTATGAAGCCATTTCCTGCCGCTGGATGACCGTTTCAGGCATTTTGGTAAAATACGGGTCACGTTGACCGGACTGGATCTTCCACAGGGAACTTTCAGAGTCCTGACTATTCACCCTGCTTAGGCAGAAATGCTTTCTCATCTGACGGACATTTTTGCGCTTGACCCGCAGAGATGCAGAGGGAGGAGTTTTCATCATGCCAAAGCTTGTGTCATATGTTCAGGATGCTACTGCTGTCTGGTGATTGGAGAAGGAAGAAAAGTCAAAGATCTTTAAGTTAATCCACTTCTCTAAAAGGCTCATTGTCAGATATTGAGAGAATCAATATCTGAATCAGTTTGATGGAGAGAATCCTATAATTCAATATATATTAATATAAAAATCAAAATTTTAATAGTATGCATAATAAATTATGTATGAAAAAAGAAATGTCCTATTTTTCGAACAGAGTTGAATTTAATCAATTTAAATAAATGAGCTCATTAAATAGAAAAATACAGTTGGATAAACAACTGGAGGCGAAATAGACTAATTTTATAATTGGAACAGGTCCAATAGGCCAGCTGGAAAGAACAACAAAAAATAAATCCATCCTGAATCTGTCAAAAACTCTTCAGTGTGAAAGTTAAAGTTGAGGGAAAGCAACTTAAAGTTTGCAATTTTCAGTCTCGCTTATGTGAATAAAGACAAAATTTGAGAAAGCAGGGTCTTCTAGATAGGAAACTTTTTCCTACACAGGTTTACTGGATCAATACTTCAACACATAACAGAAAGTTGAAAGTATGACAACAAAAGGACTCTTTTTTTTCTCCTTCACCTTGAAGGCTCTGATTTTAGCTGTCACAATATAATCTGTCATATATAGTAAGTGAGATATACTGTAGCTTTTCTTTCTTAGTTGGTTCATAACGTAGAGAATTTAACTGTAATTGTAGATGTTCAGCAAAGCAACGACACAGCTACGCAACTTTGAGATGCTTTGGAGAAATCAGGTTTTGGTTTACTCCAAATACTTTAGTGTTTTGTTGTTATTTGGAGTTCTCAGAGAGATCAGAGGAGGATAAAATCAGTATCAGCAGGTAATGGAAAATTGGCCACCAATTCACTGACTCATTATGTGAATTATTAATTATTACCTTAAAGAAAGCCAAAGCTCAGTATTTCTAAAACACAACTAACTATTCAAAGGCTTACCGACATATCTGCAGGTACCTGCGGTAATTAATCTGAGCATTAAAGTCCAGCCAACTTTGACGACGGAAGGAGGCACCCTATACTGTTGCCCTCCATTATGTCTCCAGGTCACTATTTTAACTTTTAACTAAGATGTTACTTAAACTTTTATTCTAAATTGACATTTTACTAAATTAGTCGTCATTCTTAACCTAGCTTTTTTGCTAGGTTAAGAATGGCGTAGCTAGCTTAAAAGCTCATCGAAATCACACTTTTTCAGTTTTTCTTCAGATAATCTTTTCTCATCGGTAAAAACTAAAAGTATAAGCGTTAAATACATGTTAAAGCTATTGTTGGTGGGTGAGCTCCATAAAAGTTAAGATAAAAATCAGACACCAACCCAAATAGATGGCAACTCACAGAGCTCGAGCATCTGCAGCAAGCACTCCTCCCCAGCGCGAGACGCGCTCACTACTCGCAATGTTTTTCCCTTCTTCTTTTTTGACGTGGCGTTGAACTTCAGTACGGTCGTACGTCAACGCGCCCGCCATATTGGTAAGGCAAGATACGGGACAATCCTGGGCTATTTGATATCCATTTCATCATTCAAAAAGCTGGGGAATATTAAAATTCAAGTCGTTAGAACAATGCTAACATCAGCAGTATGAGTAGAAATGAAAGAAGCACAACTATTAAAGCATTTCCTATATTTTCTACTTATTAAGCTGACTTGGACTGTAGGCTTTAAACAAGATAATACATCTCAAGACATTTTAAAACCGTGTTGGAAAAGTAGGGAGGAAAGAACACATCATTCAGTGAACAATGTAGAAGATAATCAAACAAAATGTTGAGAAAAATCTCAAATCAAACCTTACGCTACAGTCAAATAGTTGATCAAAAACAATGTCAAAAACACTAGAGGGGGAAATCCCAAACATTTGAGATTCCTCTGTAGTTAATGTATGAATATATGCATATTTAGATTCAAAAATAGCTAATAAGTATAGATACCACTTATTTCTATTTTTTTTTTATCCTAAACTCTTACTAATTCTGTCTTTGTTGCATCAAGCTAGAAGAATTATGAACAACCCACTAATTTATATTTTACAGAAAAATTGATGCTTTGTTTTATTTATTTACCACATCTTTGTTATTAATTAAATGTAGTTTTTTGTTTCCAAATGTCACAAGAGTACATCATGTAACGTCTTCAAGATAATCTGGTGCTAAAGTTCAAAATTAAAGTCTTAAATATGCCCAGAATTAACTACATGTCTCAGTGACTTAGACTTTTTTTTTTAAAAGCAAGCCAAAAGTTGTTTTATCGATTTATTTTTGACTACCAGAAACATGTACATTAACTAATTTTAATTTATATTGTAATCAGCAGTCCTGTTATTCAAATGAATGTGTTTTATGTGTATTCCTAGTATTTTCATATTCATATATTGAAATGTCCTTTTTAACTTGTACTTTGAGTAGGTCTTTGCTAATTACTATGTCAAAGACATTTTCTTCATTCACAAGTAAATACAACAAACACTGACATTTACTAAATGAAAGCCAGATTGTCTTTCACTTACATAAATTTCCTTTGGCCAATTAAAGAACCACTGCACCTGCTCGCTGTGCTGCAGGTGCCTCCAATAAGCGCAATGACTGCAAAACCTTCTGTTTAAGAGCAGTCTCTTTTTTTTGACAGCCACTCACTGTAGCTGACCTACTTTTTAAGAGCCAACTATGTTCCTGGGAGGCTGTTTAAGGTTTGTTAACAAAGTGAAGTGGCTTAATGTGATGACTATCTTAGAAAAGTAAAACAAGTTTCAGTATTGGTTCTAATGTAAAAGTTTTGCAGGGTGTCATGGATCAGCCTGCTTTTTTGCTTTGGAAATTGCTTTCCTACTGGTGAGTCAAACTCTGAATGTATGGATACTATTAGACTTAACATGAAACTTAAGTTTTACCAATTCAAACTCCTGTCAGTTTTCTCTTGGGTTTTAGTTGTGTTGAAATAGAATTTTAAGTTAGCACAATACTGCACAGGATAGTTTTGACACATATGAAATATATCATAGAAAGTTAAAGTACACTATATGTTCATATAAATTTAGATGAAACTAAAACAACGGCTCACTCTCTGAACGCAGATAAATTCTTAAAGGAGGATTAGACAGAAAACACAGGCCTAGACTCCTTGGATCTCTTTAGATAGGGAGCCTGTCTGCCAGGCAATTAACAAATTCCTGAGCATGGTTCAAAAGTTCACTAGGATCTTAAAACTTTTTATAAATAATTTTATCTATATTAGAATTAACTATATTTCTTTAAGCATGTTTTGAATTAGTTACTTATTAGATCCAAACTTATAGTCATTATTTAGCATTACATTTTGTGCAAGCTTGGTTAAAAAAACACCAACTAGTTTCTTGTTAAAGCATCTTGAGGCAGAGATAACGTTCCAGTTCCACGCTGTAAATCAGGTCGGAGCCTGGTACGAGAAGAGCTGGGGGTTTGGGTCTAAGAGGTAATAAAATTAACATTTAAGAGAGCCCACACAAAGGAAAAGAACACACCTCCTAATGCATATATTTAAATGAGGAGAATACACATTCTATAAAATGATTTGTTTTACAGCAGAAGTTGGAATCTCTTTGTGCTGAGTGAGAGTTTCCCGGAGGATGCATCTTCTGTTTTTTTCCTTTTTACTCAGTTCTTTGTCTCTGTTTTGTCATGTCTTGGACTTTTGAAAATCTAGGTGAGATGCTTATTGTAACATTCTTCTTGGATTGAATTTCTCTGGATAAAACTCTGAATATCTGAAGTCTGATGTCGTATGATTGCTCTTTTCTCTCTGCACACTTACACAGACACAAGAATTCGGGACAAAGAATTAATTAACGAGGTAAATCAAGTTATTCCTATTTTTAATTCTTAACAGTTGCAATAGACAAGGTGTGCAAGGTGTGGAGACAAAAATAAATCCTGCTAGTTGTGTAAAAATGGACATTTTGAGAAATCTTAACTGACTTCATAGTGCTGGTGGTGAGAACAATCCAAATTCAACCTTTATTGGCTCCATACAGACAACATGGTGCCCCACAACTGCCACTAATTTCCTAGCAGCTTGCATTCATGTATCTTGTGAGACTTGACACAATTGGTCACTTTTGTGTAATTTTCTCTCTCACCAGATAATGGCAAGAAAACAACTTCCTTGAGATCTGAATCTTCAGCAATTCCAGACTCTAAGTTTGCATCCTCATCTGTTGGAAATGAATTGAACTTGAGTATTGATGCTCCTGATGAGATGACTCACTCCAACTCTACTAGTGCGCCAGATACTCTATCACAAAGAGCCTTTTATGTTGGACCTCCATTGCATGAAGAGAAGTCAGCTGGCTTCTTGATGCAGCCACTGATGGTCTCAAGTCCAGGAGGCTTGTATCTATTATCCAATCCCTGGTTTGGACCATTCCATGAAGCTGTATATCCCAGCCCTGACTCTCATCCATATACTTATGGTGATAGCTCTAGGGGATTTCTTTATTACAATTATGGTGGCATCCATGCAGCATCTCTTCGTTATGGCCACAGTTATGGTTCTGCTGGGTCTCCTCATTACAGTTATGCTTATGGCATGAGTGGTTTGCCTCTCCAAGCATATGACCACAGGGTGTCTGCATCGCCTCCCTTTGGGGTGGGCCCTCCACCTGGCTATGGCTACTTGCCCTGGCAGCCTTCAATACTTGATCCTGAGCTGTTTCTCATTAGAAACATTTTAAGGAAAGTTCATGAAATGCCACTTGCTCAGCCCTGGATGACTAGTGAGGTGCCAGTGGTAACGAAGCCTTCTGTGTACCCTCCATCTCACCTCAAGCAATCAAACATGGGTCATCATAGAGGAAGAGACCTCCTTTCTGACAATCAGTACTCCAACAGTGACTATTCTTTAGAGCCTGAAACTGACACAATGCAACAACAAGATGTTGCAGAAAGTGACTTAGAAGGCAGATTGTCTCTTTTTGGTAAGGCAAAATTGAGTGTTTATTGCTGGAACAAAAGTTGCCATCTTTCAGGGTGGACTTTTCATCTGGCTATCTGGAACTTTTTAGATGTGGACAAAGAGCTGATTAAAATTTGTGGGAAAACTTCAAACTGGCTTGACTCCTATCTTTATCGTGTAACATTGCAGCATCTGTATAATGAGGGACTTCATGATGAAGCTGACTCAGTTGGTTTATGTTGACTCTTTAATGTATGATTAAATGGACTGCTTCAGACACATCACTGGATCTCAGAAAGATGACAGGATTTGTCAAACTGGCACCTTGAAGGGCTGCTGCTGAACCAACAGGTGTCAGAATTTATTTTTATTTTATTATTTTTGCAAGACCTCATGACTTCATTTTCTGAACTGAGATTGGAGCACTGAATGCTGCCTGTTTGGTTCTGATTGGGTTGCAGTTTTCTAAGCTATTCAATGGGTTAAAGGAAAGTTTTCTATTGAAATTTTAAGATTACTTTAACTCCGTTTTTAGGTCTGAGTCAATTACAATTTTATATGTACTCAACACTTGACTGGACTAATCTGATTTTTGTATGGTTATGAAAGAGGATGGAGCCCAAAATGAAAAATTTACTTAAAATGCTGTGCAATTTGGGAAGGGAATGTAAAAGACAAAATGACATTAGTCATCTTTCTTTTCTTTTTCTCTGTCCATTTTAGTTCAATTATGCCTGCAAAATTCAGAATTTGTACAAGGCATATGCCATGACTCTCTAAGCTGAATGCTCCATTTAAAAGAAAATTCTTGTGAAATTTAACCTTTATGTGTAACAGAGAATAAAACCAAAGATGTTTTTGAATTCCTGCTGAAAGTGATTCACTTTTCCTTTTCAGTGAGGAGCAAAAACTACAATATTGTTTTGCAGGCTATAAAAAGCCATCATGGGCCAGCCCCTATTACACAAATGAGCTTATGTTCTTACAAGTAGGTGAGTTTTATTTGGTTTAACGTGCCATATGTTAATGCGGAGGAGTTCACTGAAAGCCCTGCTAATCCTTTTAGCTGCTTGTCCTCCAGAAGGTTCAGAGGGACACATTTCACAGCAGGACACAGACAATTTTTATATGGCTGTAATTCTGTGGATTTATTTTCTGTATTTGTAACAGGTAGAAGCAATTTTTGGAATGGATTTATCAGATTTTTCTTTCGATGGACGACTCGTAAGGGATTGTGTAATTCTGTACAGCCTCGGCCATCTGAAAATGACAGATACAGCAGGTGGATAAGAATCTTGGTTGGATTTTAATTTCTCTTGCAATTGCTTTGTGGGAAAACATAGAAGTCACCTTGTATTTTCAAGACTGAAAAAATGGGCTGCTCACCCTCCAAAAGTACCAATTTGGGCAGTTTGGGTGCCATGAGGAGGGAAAGAATGTTACCTGCAGTGCCTCAAGAAAAGAAGGATGAAGATGGAAGAAAGAACAATGTAACAGGATCTGGAAAAGGGGAAGCAAAGGGTAACAAGGAATCTCCACATGTCCAGGTACTTCAGAAAGAAGCACAAATGACACCACAAAAAAAGAGATATGCCACTGAAGAAGTGAACACTGAGGTAAATAACATTGATAAAGGTGAGAGTACAGCAACAGAAAAAGTCACACTGCCACTAAGAAAGGATAAAAACTTTGACAAGGAGTTAGCTGATAAAAAGTCTAGCAGGAAACCAAAGAAATTGGCCAAAGGTACTAAAGGTCCCAGAAGGAAAGACCAGGAAAAGATATCTACAGATCAAAAAGTAGACTTTCCAGAACCTTTAGTAAAAGCTCATCAAGCTGCATATGCCTTTTTGAATCCCAGTATAAACAAATATGATTCTGTACTTGAGCTCATGGAAGAAGCCACGCAAACTCAGATTTCTGTGCAGACAATGATAGCCTTCATGGCTTTGCGCTATGAGGAAATTATTCAGGGACTGGAAGAAATGACAGAGGAGGGGGAACAGGTTTTGAAAGAAAATGGAGAACATCTTGCTTGGCCAAGCCAAATGAAAAATCTCTCATCTTCCCAGCGGACGACTGCTCCGATTAGCTCAGAATCGCCACCAGATTTGTTGCAGCAGCTTCTTCAGTACACCACTCAGAGGATGAGGAATGTGAGCCGGACTGTTTGTGGAATTGGAGACTCTGCTTTGGAGGAAGCAGTGGATTACTTTGCCTCAGTGTCAGAGCTTTTAGAAGAGAAAATGAAAATCAAACGCACTTTGGAGGCCAGGATGATGCGACTCTTAACCCAAATAGAAATGGCCTCCCTGCGCAAGCCTGGAGGAGAGGATTCAGCTCTGTTTAGTGAGGACAGTGGTATTGGGGCTGAGAATGAATCCATTAATGGATGCGAAAAGCATCATAGACGAGAGAGTTGTGGGTCCAATGGGACAAACAGAACTCCACTCAGTCCTACAGAGTACACTGCTATGAACATCACTGGAGCATCGATAGAAAAATGTGGGACTCAAATAAGTCCAAGTTTTTCTCTCACTTCACTCAACTCACTTGATTCGACATGTACCATAGTGCCTAATGACCAAAGAGATTCGCTGTTAGGCTCGGCCTCCCTAGATGATGGTGAAGACGAGAACAATGATGAAGAGGAAGGAGATAGAGGTGTGAAGGATGGAAAAGTAGGATTCCCGGTAAGATCTAAATCTTCACCCATGAGTTCAGCAACTCCTCCGCTCCGCATACCAAGAAAACGCATAGAAAATCCTCAAAATGTAGAAATGACTCTCAAGATGAAAAATGCTGTAAGTGATAGAATACGGTTTGTACAAAAGCAGAACACTGGTGCCAAAGCAAAAATAGCAGGCACTCCAAAGACCACTAGACAAGATTGGACAGATGAGGAGGTGCAGTCTCCAAGGAGGCCTCAAACAGCAACAGCTGTTCGGAGAACAGAAATAAAAAAGAACCCAGTTGCCAGGGGTCAGCGTTCTAGGTCAGCAGAATCCTTGCGGAGTAAAGGTGAAGATCCAACTCTGTTTGAGCTAGAAATGACTCAGAATGCTCTAAACCAGAGATTACAAAGGATGAGTAAAACCAAAGTGGTAGGAAACTCAAAGTCGGTTACATTTAAACAAACACAAGGAAATTCACCTGCTCAATCGCCATCAATAAATCGAAAACAGCCTCCACAATGTAAAAACAATAATAGCCAATTACCTAAAGACAAAACACGTCTCTTAAAGCACAACAACAAAAAAGAAGTCATCTGTGATGTTAACAAAGATAAACAGGAAGACAAAACAGAATCCACATGTCATATAAAAACTACTCCTCCACCTAGCCCTCCTTTATCACCACAAGAGTCGTCTGGCTTTCACAGGGGCAGGAATTCAGTCAAAAAGCTGATTGATACCTTCAGCCAGGGTATAGAGGAAAGAGAAACTCCTAAGGTTCTTGGGCCTTTAAAAGGGGTGCGAAAGTGTGGTGTCCCCATCCTACCAGGTTTAGGAAATGTAGAAGCAGTTCTTAGTATGGGAGTGACCAGCTGTAGACCTGAGTCCACAACATCTGAAAAAAATGATTATTTTGATCTTGACAATCTTCCTCCACCTCCTCTGGAAGTACTGATGGACACTTCTTTTGAAAGTGCCCAAAGTGGATCGACTGCAGCAGGAGATGGGACTACAAAAGTGGGAAAGTCACCTGTGCTAAAAAGGCCTGCTGTATCCCAAAGACTTAGAGCTTCAATTCAGACTGTCACAGTATTACCAAGCAAAGGAGGCTTACCACAGTCAACAAAGATTGTTTTTCAAGATACACCTGCTTTTTCAAAAGTCAGTCAACCCAATGGAATGGAGACAGAATCATCAAACTATCAAGTTAGAAAGATCTTACACACACAACGATCTTCTGACTCAAACTCGGAGAGCTCCTTGATTAGAAGGGAAGCAACCTCAGAACCCCAAGGAGAATCACCTGAAGTACAGCATAACGGGAAGATTTCAGTGCCTCAACGTAATACCACTGCAGCTATCATGCCTCCTTCCTCAGTTGCCAGTAGCCAACCACTTGGCACTCCACCTGTCTCTAAAGGCCGGATGTTACCTTCCACTCCGTCTACCCCAAGTAGTTTGCATAGAAGACTTCCCAGCCCTCTTGGTTCAAAAAAGGAAGTTTCAACACCCCCAGCAAATAGCTCCCCTGTTAACAAGACACCTTCTACACCACCGGCACTTCAACGGAGACTTCCCAGCCCACCTGTTGTAAACCAGAACTCTTGCACCTCCTACCCTTTCAAAGCACCATCTCCACCAGCCTCACCAAAGGTACAAAAAGGGTCAAGGAAGAACAGCACCGAAGAATCAAGTGCACAGATGTTCAGTAATGCTCGTTCAGTGTTCTGCCCAGTTTCTCCATCCATGTTTGAGGCCCAGCCTTGTTCAGTCATCCAACCACATCAAGCATGGACTTCCAGCAGGGTTTCAGTTCTTTCCAGTTGTTGGGGGAGTCGCGGAAGGTTCCCCGTGTCTGTACAAGGACCACGACCCTTTGTTCGACGTAGCCAATCAGACAGAAGGCCAAGTCTAAGCATGACTTCCCGATTCCAAGGAACTTCAGTGGCTGAAACTTGTGGAAGTGAACCAGCAATATGTACAAAGGGGTAAGATTTCTTTATTTTTCTAAATCCTTCAACAAAATAATCATGCTTTCTGAAGGTCTCTCAAAATGTTGTCTTTGATTTAAAGCAGAGGTCTCAAACTACAGTGATAGAGGGCCAGAGTCCTGCAACTTTTATATGTGTCTCTTTCCCTACACACTTTAATTCAATGGCAAGACTGCTTCAATAACATGCAGTGAAGCTCTAGAGAGCTCTACTGATTAGTTACTGAAGCCAGGTGTGATGAAGCAAAGAGATAGCTAAAAGTTGTTGGACACTGGCCCTCAAGGACTAGATTTTGAGACTTGAAGAAACAAAAGGAAAAAGGTTAATTGTATAGAACAAATAAATGTGTTAGGTCTCAAAGCCTGTGGAGCACATCAACAGTTTTTGAGATCTATTGGACATCAAAGGCCAGACACAAAAACTAAAAGCCACATTGCCTCTTTAGTAATCTTTTTTTAATTACTTTATGAGAGGTGAAGTCCAACTCTCTCTCCATCTGTTATTTCTAATCAACTCACTGTCAGAAATGGCACAAAATTAGCCTCATGATCCAAATGGAAAATAATCCTTCACTAAGTTTTATGTAGGGTGAACTCAAAAGTGGTTCGTCCCTTGGAAGCAGGCAGAGGAGCATCCAGAGCTCAGAAACAGTCTCTGATTAAATAAAGGTTGTTGTCTTTCAGCACAATGTGACCTGACAGCATTTGTTTAATTTAAAAGGATGATTTCTGTTAACAGCCCTCTGGAGCCCACCAGGCATGCTGTGCTTATCACTAAAGTAAATTTTATTTTCACTTTAACAGGCTAGATGACAATACAGCCAGACATCGTGAATTATGGGGTAGCCAGTCAGACCTCAGGACAACGCCACGCTCTGCATCACACCCGGATCTGTGTGTTGTTGGACAGGCCTTACACAGGAGCTAAACAGGGCCAACACCGAGGCTGTGGGATTATAGATTAGCAAGCATTACTGTGGATTTAAAATTGTCTTGTTTATTTCACTTGGAAGAGAAGAGGAGCTATTTCCATCCACTATGTCATGTAACACGCCTCCAGATACTCTGTACTTGGCTTCTTTCTCAACAAGTTGTGTTGCTGTTAGCTGTTATTGTTATTGTGCTGTTTTTGGTTTTTATGTTTACAAAATATAAGACTTGTTCATTAGTTATGGACGATTATAATACAACATCTGTTGGACAAGTCTGATCAAGATTTTGATCAGTTTTTTGTAGGTAACATTTAACAAATTGAAGAAAAACAAATTCTGATCAGACATTCAATTTAAGACAAGTGTGGTCAAAACTGGTGGTAGAAAACCAAGTGCTAAACGTTTACATCAATTAAACTACATACATTTTTATGAAGAGAGACATCTCTGTTATTTTTTGATATTTTCTTTGTGATTTGTTTTTAATTTTTGATGTCCATGTGATGTGAAATTTATTTAATTTTCTCTAAAAAAACATTCATAATTTTTTCAGTCTGTCATTTTTACTATTTCTTTATCATTATTACTAATAAAAACAAAACAAAACAAAACAAAGCCATTACTTGCGCCATTGTTTCCATGACCAATAGTGCTTAATCCAATAAAGCTGTACTTAACTTGTGTCCAGAAGCAGCTCTCTCTCCTAGTGGTTTGCCAACTTTCAAAATTACTCCTAAAATGTATTCTGTCCTGCAGTGAAGCCATTTTCCCATCAGGAAGAGTTGCAAGGAAAGTTTGAGACTTCAGTGGATAAAATGCAGATAAATGAGTGTTCTCTGTATGTCTTAGATGATGTATATTTGTACATTTATGTATATATATTTGTACATTTATGTGCAAATATGAGAACTGATCTTTCAAACAATTGAATTTTCCAGCTTTTTAGACTTATTTTTCAAGCTAGAGTAGTTAGATCCTGATAAATTTGATGTTGATGGACATTTGCATTTGAGGGCTTTTGGTTTTTATCCTGCAGAAAACACATTCAAATATAAAAGTGCAATCTCTCCCTGAGGACATCCTCAGTCTCCCTAAAGTGGCACAAAAATAGCCATGTGATTTAATTTCTGCTAAGTGCAAAGTGTGATTGTTTTTCCGTAGGGAAGCAGAAGAAACCTGCTGTGAAAACCATATAATTGGAGAACTCCAGTTCCGTCCCCTCATGGGTATCATGTTGATCATTTTCTGTGTTCTTTGAAATGGAAACAGTTTCCACCTTAAACTAAACAATCAGAGGATATCTTTTCGTGTGTTTTCCAGGGAGAAATGAACTCAAGGCTTAGTATATGTTGAAAGCATCTCAGGGATGTGAAAAATGGCATAAGAAATTTCATTCTTGGCAAAATATTCAGTGGCGGGAGCACTATTATGCTGACATAATTGCAGGTAGGGTTCATGCTGAAACAGCGCTTGCTACAGCTGAGCCATGTTTTAATAGATCAACAGGCCTGTGGATGAGTATGACAGTATTCCTTTAATGTAAAGCCACTGTTTTCTGTCTAATTTGATTTTTCTACCAACAAAGCACGATATCAGACACACTGATGATTAATTTTTTTATTCCATTGTCATTGCATGTTAGTGGAATTTCAACCAATGGAGATGCTCTTTATGAAACTGCAGATGAACAGTTTCATAAAGAGCAAAATGTTAATTTTGAGAAATAATACATATCTCTTGTATCATAGTACTCAGCCACATGTGTCCAATTAGAAGAAAATTGATGCAGAAAATATATTGCAAAGTTTACAGCAAAAATTTTAAATTCATCTCTTCAACTACTAGAAAGAAAAAAAAAATCTGGAAGTGAAATTTGAATAAACTTTGAATGACTTTAGATTTATGTGCAATACAGTAGAGCTGTGTAAAACCAGCATGCACAATCAATAGAGAGTCCCTAAAAATAACAACTATTATTGTAAAAGTGAACTGAACTTACTAGCTTGTCTAATTTTGCAGACCTCGCCTCAGACTCTGTTCATCACAAAACATCTAAGACCACAGTAAACTCAATAAACCCACAGAGTTCTGTCTTTACACAACTGGACTCCTCTGCTGGCTCAGCGGAGCTGAATGCTTCGGTTCAGTGGGGAAGAGAGAAAAAACATGACATGCTGGCTGCCGCAGACACCTCTTATCATACCCACTGAATTCCCACTGTTGGTCTGGACATGGTTGCTTCCTGATATTACTACCTGATAGCTATTTGTGTCAAATAGGCATAACCAAAAGGTGAGCTCCGGCCAGACGGGACTAACATAGATATAGAGATTTAGAAAACACAAGTAAAAAAAGGAAGCATGAGCATGACCAGAGTCTGTGGGGATTTTTGGCATTCTGCCTGACTAACATCTAATACAGGCAGGTTGGTCTTTTACAGCAAATCTTTAGAGTATTCAACTTTTTTTTTTTTTAACTTAAGAATGTACATAAACATTTGCAACATGGCTCAATCTTTTTCTTAGAGTTGTACAATGTGCAACTCAAAGTCCTGACTGTTGAATTTGTTGATTTTTGGCAGAACATATATTTTTATTCATTTATGTTAGTAAATTCCAAGGGTTTTAGAGCTTAATAGGCAAAATTCTCAGATGTTTGACACAAGTTTCAAATATATGTTAAAAATATTTTTTTTACTTAATCCCTGAGTCATTTTTAGTGTTTTTAAAACTTACTGTAGATCTGTCAGAAGGTTATGCAGTGATCATACTTTAATGATCATTGTACATAATAGTATAACCTGCAATCAGACTATTAAAAATGTGGACGCATAAATGGATGAATGTAACTACTTGAGAATAAGGATAACATAAAGTCTGGAGCCTGTGGTCAATACTACGCAGGCTTACTTTCAAGTCTCTGAAATCTCTTGCAACTGTTAGCAACTCAACTGTGACCAAAAATATTCTCTTGAATAAGAGGATTATTATTCTGCATGCATAGTCAGCTCAGATAGACAGATGGACTCATCTTAAATCTAATGCATCTGGAAGTTTCTTCCAGATGCAAAAGAAGTTGTTCCTTTTTGCTGTCGCCTCTATATAAATCTATAAAGTTTTTATTGATTTATTCACATTGTTTGTTACTAATTTTTAATTGAATTTAATTAAAATGGATTGATAAGGATTATTATCTTGACTGACATACAAATATCTGACAGTCTCAAAGTCTGATTTAATGACATTAGATTAGAACTGGAGCTGTTTTAATATTACTCCCTAAGAAGACAATTTGTTGTGACATGGAAGTATTTAAATAAATCAAAGAGAATTAAATGACTTGAAACAGACACTATTTTTCAAGATAAACAGTAAGAATAAGGATTTGCTGTGGGAAAAAAAAAAAAAAAAAAATTATTTTAAACACATTTTTTATTGTTAGTTTTGCAGAAGCACTTGACTTTACAAAGTTTTTATGCAAAATTATAAGTATTGTTTTTTACTTTTGTTGTTTTTTTTTGTAAGAGGCTGCATGAAAACATTTAAAAACCACAGCTTTCCGTGTCTGTAATAGCGTTATTTTGTCATTTTGTTTTGTTTGCCCGAGCCTTGAAAATCTGGAAGTAATTTCTCCTTTTTTCAAAGTCACACTGTTCACATGATACCTCGTGTCTCGGTTATTTGTTTAAGGAGGCTGCAAATAACAAATATCAAAATCCATTTTTATATAAGAAGCCTCGTTACATGGGTTTGTTTTTATGCACAGATTTTCCAACAAAAGCCTAATATAGCACTGAGGCGCCATCCCATTTCACACATCATTTGCATATAGATAGCACAATCAGAGATGTGCAATGACATGACAGCCTGAATATTCAGATTACTTGAGTGTCGAAGTGATGATTGGATGAAATCTGATGATTAACGGCAACTGTTTCAATCAGCTGGCTTGTGCGTTAACGAGCATCAGTGGATATAAAAAGGAAAAACTTGAAAGGAAAGGACAAGAAGGTCATGGTCATTGGTATTCAGAGAGAGGAGAACAAAAAAGCAACATATGAACAATGTTTCTTTAGCAATGACAAGAAGAGGAATCCTTAAAAAACTAATGGTGTGTCTTCTGAAATGCAGACCAAGCAATTCGCTCAGAGTGTGTAAGTGTGGAGTTTTCTAGCTGCTTGAAGGCTGGAATCCCTGTACGGTGTTGGTGTGCACGGCATCTTAATAATGACATCAGCATTCAAGGTTAGTCAACTATGGAATGGAAAGTAGTGGGGCACTTAAAGATGGATTGATTCCATGTATTTAATGTAAACATAGATTGCTTCTTCTACCTTTAGATGTCTGCCATTATTCTCAAATAGGTAATTGTAGAGAAGCAGCAATATTTTCAGTCTTTAAGTCTGCCATTGAGAAGTTGGATGGCAGAAAAAAATAAGTGCACCTACTCTTCTGTGCACTGGGTGGCAGTGTTAGCAAAGGCATTCTTACTTTGGGTCATTACACATTTTGAAGGTTTGTGATTATCTCCTAGAGTCCATTTTCAATCATTTTCTCCTTCTTTTTCTTTAATGAGAAAATTTCAGTCTGACATGATATAAAGATTAACATGCTCCAGAAGTAATACAAAATGTCCAATCCTTTGTATCACTTTCAGTCAATCCTCTTTGGGGTGACAGGTGTGTGCATAGTGCCTTCTGAGACACATTTTTTTTAGACCTACAGCATCATTACACCCTTCATACGGAAGTCTGGATTGAGTTTTAAATTGCGGTCAAGGCAGAAATGCAGTCGAAGGTAACTGCATTCAATCTAACACAGCATTGAAGGAGCCTTTGTGAAAGGTCAGGTAAGCAGCTGCGACACTGTTCATCCCAGCAAATGTCACAATGTCTCGGGGGTTGATGTGACTGATGGAGGACCTTATATGGTGGCATAACACCAGTGCTTGTAGAAGACTTTTCCAACAGAAACGATTAGTCAATGAGGGGAGATGAGCATAAATTTCACAGCTGACTGTCTTTAGGTAAATAGGAATCAAGTTCTTTGACTGGAATTTCTTTACCTGCTGCCCAAAGCAGCTTTCTAGCCTGTGGAGAGGTTTTCCCATGACAGTGATGGACTTAAGTATGAGGACTTGACACATTACACAGCATCAGCTATGTGCACCAAAGTTAACACTTGCCTATACACAAAAGGTCTTTCTGAGGAGCTAATTAACTGTTTGAAATGTGCCACAAAGAACAAGATGTCCTCATGTCTGGCAGTAGAACAAACATTTACAGAAAATGTATTGCAGATCAGGTTGTCTGACAGCTATTAGGGTGTCTTCACATTACATGGCCCAATTTAGAAATCCTCCTTCAACGTGCAGGAAGTCAGGTGTATTCTTTGACTTTTGTGACACTTAAAACAGATTTTTTATATTTGCCACATCACAAAAGGATGTATTGCATCTCTTCTGCGGACTCATTTTGCCACAAAATTCCCACTGTCACACCATGGCAAAAGTTTATCAGACCAAGTCAGGATGCAGAAATTCACCTAATGATACCAGCTTGCTAACGCGATGCCACTGCTATAATGGGGTTGCTGTTTTGCTTCAAATGTTTATTATGTAGCCCCACTGCCCTTCTTCATTAATTCTC